TTTTTTTCTTTTTGGTACCAGTGGTCAAATTTGGGACTCTGTGCCTGCAAGGCAGGTGGCAGAACCACTGAGCTAAATCCCTGGCCCTACATTTTTCTGTCATTGCTTCACTGTGGAGGTAGGCACATGTGGTGAAGAAATTCACAAATCACAATGCCAGTTTTTCCTGGAAAGCTCTGAACTTGTCATTTCTCCTAAGAACTTCATTTTCAGGGACTATTATTAAAAAGGGTGTTTTGTGGTAACACACATAACATTTAAGTCATTGCAGAGCACAGACAGTACCACGTTGAGACTTAAATAATACTACTTAGTTTTGAGGAAGAGTTGGAAATTTGTATTAAGGCTTAAGGCTTGCTGCTTCTCAGGTGAGTTCTGAGATAATTTGAGTTTTTAAAAAGTTTGCAGTCCAGGACAGTTTTCATTCTTTCCCTCTCCCCCACCCCTTCCTTTTCTCCTTCCTTTATTTCTTCTTGCCTCCCCCCACACCCCGCCTCACAGGGTCTTGCTATATAGTTCAGGCTGGCTTTGAACCAAATTGCCCACAAACTCAAAGTGATCCTCCTGTCTCAGCCTCCTGAGTTCCAGGATTAAAGGCATATACCACTATACCCAGCTTTTTAAAAACTTTCTTAGATTCCTTCTGCCAAAAGATATCCACACTGAAATCTGGTCTTGTCAGAATGCTGTTGACGTAAACATCTAAGCTTGATAGTAAAAGAAGGCATGAAGTTTGGGCTTGGAGTTGCCTCATTGTAGGAAATCAGCCTGCTACTGTTGCATCAACTGCCTGATTTGGGGACCCCTAAGAGGAAGAATCACAGTTTAAACCTAGATTAGAACAAAATGAAGAAGCTGACTTTCTTCATGTTTTGAGGTTTATTTTTAAAACTCTAGATATCTGCTTAGAAGAGAACATAAACCTACAGCCATGGGAGTGGAAATAAAAGCTTCTCTGAGATGAGTGTTCTTAAGATCTTTGCCTTTGGGGCTTGTGTAATGCACTTGTCTATCAAATCCACACACACACACACACACACACACACACACTATTTATACAATCGCTCAGTCATCCATCATCTTGCTGCCCATGCTGTTTTGTGTGCCTGTAGTGTCTGCCCTGATACCATGAACACACGGTGTTGGGTCACAGCCAGAATCACCACACCTTCTGACCTCTATCTGTGGTTTTCTCATTTTCACAACCATTTCCAGCCGCTGACCCAGGCAGCACAGCATCTTCTAGGAAAAACATCAGCCAACACTAGGATGACTCCAGAAAATGCACTGTCTGCCTGTTCTCCATCTTAGAGGAAAATCCCAATCATGTGACCAAAGCCCAGACTCTTATATATCTTGCTATCAAGGAAGGCATAAGTGCACAAGCCCCAAGCAATCATTTCCTTCTAAATTTGCAGTGTGTGGCTCCTGTTACTGCCTCTGAATTCACCCCTAAAAACAAAATAAGAATGTGGAATCTTCATATAAAGATAGGCCTTAAAAATCCTAACAGTTGCTAACTATGTGTAATATAGAAAGAGGTCTCCATTTTTTAGGTTTGAATAAAATTACTATACCAAATCACTTTCCTATCCCCAAACAAGAATTTATGTTTTAAGAAGTATCTGTCACTGATCCATAGAAGGAGCATGCTCGCTGGCTGGCGGGGGGACAACCAGCACCTGAATTTTGAAATCTACGCGCTTGGGTGGGCACTGTGGTAGGTTATGTCAGCTTTCTGTTACTGGAAGACAAACTACCTGAGAAAACAGATTTAAAGGAGGAAAGGGTTACTTTGGCTCAAAGTTTCAGCAGTTTCAGTCCTTGATCACATGGCCCAGTTGCTTCAGAGCCTGTGGTGAGGCAGCAGAATCTGCTTACCTCATGGAGGCAAGGAAGCAAAGGAAAAAGAGACCAGGGTGTGGTGACCCCTTCCAGGGCAGGGCACGCCCCCCATGACCTCACTTCCTGCCAGTAAGCCCTGCCTCCTAAAGGTTCCACTGCCTCTCAGTGCCACCTATTTTCCAACACATGGCCTTTGGGGGACATATGAGGTCCAAACCATAACAGGTGGTGTCTCACGTTAGGGTGGTCTCCTTACCTGTGAGATCCTTGGTGAGGCTCTGCACTATTTTGATTATCCTAATACTAATCCTGGCCTGGCCAGTGCAGGTTTGGCTTTCATCTTATGTCTGCAATTACTTCCTACCAGGACAAGCGCTGACGTCTCTGCTGGCTTGGTGAAGTGATGATCATTTCTCTACTATAATTAATCAGCACTGTTCTTTAGTCTAAAAAGAAAAAAGTGCTCCACTCAGAGAGAAACTGAATTATTTTGTCAAAATTTAAGATAGATTTTTTTTACTCCCTAGCCACAAGTATAAATATATACCAGGCTGACATGGGACAAAAACAATGACAAAGATGCAGGGAGCAGACTAGCTGCTTTTCAGGGGCCAGGGCCATAAAAAACCCCACAGTTACAAAATACAAATTGATTTTTGTCTGAGTTAAGGCAAAAGGAGTTGTGATTACAAATCGGTGTTTTTCTTCCAGTCTCCGCCTGCACATCAGGGGGTTTCCACAGACAGTTTTATCTTTCTTAGGAAGGGTAGCGGGAGTGACCTTTTGTCACTGTTATCTCTTCATGTAAACACGGGGTCACTGTTCCATCGCTGGAGTGGGCCTGGGATGCTGCTGGCAGCCCGGTCAGAAGTGTTTTTTTTTAAATGTGCTAATTTATAGGGAGATCACAACAAGAACAATTAACAAGGTGAAGTGAAGAAAGAATAAGCTATTTTTAAATGTAAAACAGACAAGCCTGGAAAGGGTATGTGAGGTGAATTTTACAGTGCGTTCTGTTCCTTTTAATCTTTAGAAAGGAGATGTGATAGAAGACAATTCTCGGGACACCAAGTGGAGTCTGAGCCACGGCGATCTCCATTCGGAGGGGCTGGCCAAGCTGGTAAGCCCATTATTATGTGACGTGAATCTCCATTCGTTCTGCTCCTAACGGTGAGGCTTCAGTCTGCATTTGGTTAATGAACCTTTCCCTCAGAGGGAAGAGAACCCTAAAAATAACTGAGGGAAATCCAGCTGGTTGATTTTTTACTCTTGAATAAGCCCAGGACTGAAAAGAAGCTGACTTAAAAGGATGGGGACGTAATGTCGGGGGAGAAAGCCAGTCTGTGTGCCTCTCCATCATTTCCCATACTAGGACGTCATTTAAGGAAATGACACATGCACGTAAAGGCTTACAGTTTCTAACTGATCCACCAACTCACCGTCTGACGTCCAAAGCTGACTCTGATCAAAATGGAGCTTAGAGATCCGTCATTCTGGCAAGAAGTCAGGCAGGGAGGAGGTTGTTGTAAAGGGGAAGGCTGGTCCTTTCCCACAGAACTCACAGCATATGCAGGGGGTTTTGTATTTATACACATGCGCACACTGATCATCATCACGTTTCGCTCAGGAGCCTGGACAGTAGACATCAGTAGTTGCCTTCCACAGATGAAGAGCTACAGTGAGACAGCGGCACAGTTTGTAATAGCTAAATCTTGGAAACAACCTATTTGCCCATCCGTTGGAAACTGGATAAAGAAGTTGTGGTTTTTCTATAAAATGGAATATTACTCAGCCATAAAGAGCGAGAGAATAGATTCATTCATAGGAAAATGGATACATATTGAAGATATACTCCTAAGTGAAATAAATAAGTCCCACATGTGTAAATACCGAATAGTTTCCCTGGTGTGAATATTCTGCAACAATGCATAAGATTCTAATAAGATTACTGACATTTAGAAATTTGAAGAAAGAGGCTAAAGGTGTAGGGAAGGTGTGATGCGTAGGGGAAGAACAAAAAGGGAAAAGAAAAAAATGTGAGAGAATGAAAAGATGAAAATAAAGTGTTTGTAGATGGGGAGGGGAGGAGGGGGTGAAGGGAGGGCAGAGGTAAGGGGAAAAAATGAGAATCAAGACTTGCCATGTAAAGGTACATGATCCCAACAATGAATGTAACTGTACTATATCCCTAAAATGTACCAATAAACTCAATAAAATTAAAAAAAAAAAAGGCTCCCCTGAGGCCTGACAGCTGGGAGAGAGGAAAAAAACATATATATGAGTCACTCCTGTGGTCCTGAGCTCAGACCCAAGGGTTTTCAGGGCCCCAGGGCACCTAGAGTGTGTCTGGCCAGGGACCTCGGGGCATGGGAACCCCATCTCCCCCAGCTCCATTGCCAGGAACCACCAAGGAGAGTATGATGGTATCTCCTGTGAATAAAGATGCAGCATCTGGCTGTGCTTTAAGCACAAAAGGTTTGACATTTGAAACTTTAAACCACAATAATTATAAATGTTGAGCTGGGTGTGATGGCACACGCCTGTGCTCCCAGCACTTGGGAGGCTGAGGCAGGAAGATGGCCATGAGTTGGAGGTCAGCCTGGGCTACATAATGAATTCAAAACTAGCCTGAACTACACACGGAGAAGAAAAAAAAAAAAAAAAAAAAAAGTTGGCGAAGGCCAATATTAAAAAACAGATAGACTAGTAAGTGCACATAAAAATAGAACATGGTCTTCAAGCCACCTGTCAAGTGGGATACAGATGTGCGTTTTAACTAATGACATACATTTAAACGGACATTCTTTACAAACTATGGCTTAAAGGGTGGAACCTCAACAGCCGTGAGCAGTGTGTTGTAGCACTTCCAAGAGAATTAGTTTTCCCATTTTTTCCTCTGAAATTACTTTCATGAAATTACAGTGATGATCCATACATCACTTCACATTGTCAAACTACTGTAAACAAGAAGTTTACTTAAACCATAAGCAACAAACTTATTCATCTTTAGAGTGTTTTATTCTTATGTAAAGACAGGTTGTCCTACATGTAAGAACCATGTAAAAAGGGGCTGGGGATTTAGCTCAGTGGTGCCACACCTGCCTGGAAACTGCAAGGTCCTGAGCTTGATTCCCCATATCCCAAAAAAAAGTAATAAAATCATCCTTGATTTTACAGTGATAAATTAAGTTATAAAATCATCCTTGGTTTTGCAATGGTAAAAACATTAAAATTCTCCAATAGCACAAGGTATGCAAGAGCTTTTCAGCTGCTGGGTTTTGTTGAGACTCTGAGAGCAAAGCACCTACTGGAATATAAACGTGAGAGCTCAGCGAGCCTGAGCTCATGGAGAAGGGGCCCTTCCCTCTTCTGATCTCTATTTTATCTCAAGCAAAACTCATGAGTGGTCTTTCTTTTAAAAATGACTGTGCACACACCCCAGTCACTCTGTGTAGGGTAAAGCGGGGGCCGGAGGTAGTAGGGGTCCTTGCTGTGGAGAGCAGCGCTCTGGGGAGAGGCGCCTTCCCTTCCTGTCCTCTGCAGGGTCGCATCGCTGGGGCTTCGGTCTCCACGTGCAGCCGTGCAGTCAGCATCGTCCCGCCTCAGCCACAGGCCCTGCCAGGCACCTGGTCTGCCCCAGACACTCTGTGGTACGGGTCGTCCCGGGCCCCACCTTCCAGGGAGGACGATGGCTGTTTTCAGTCGCGGCCTCTCCAGGAGCCCGGCCGCAGGGTGAGGGCTGGGCTCGCTGTGCTTTTCCTGTGGGTTCTTAATGCCGTTCTGCAGGAGAGGCGGGCTGCGGTGGTCCGGGAACTCTGGCAGAGTGAGAGGAAGTATGTGCAGATGCTGCAGACGGTGAGAGACGTCTATGCCGCCCCGCTGAGAGCGGCGCTGTCCTCAAACAGAGCGATTCTGAGCGCTGCAAACATCGAGATCATTTTCTCCGATATTCTGCGGATTTTAAGTCTGAACAGGTAAAGTCTCTGAAGGTGTAGTTTTAACAATGCGCACTGGGTGGTGGGAGGGGCCCAGACTTATCTCAAAAGCAGAAGGGAGGCTGGGTCCTTCTCTGCCCCCCTGCCCCCCCCCGTCACCTCGCAGAGGAGTAGAGGCTGCAGGGGCAGTGACAGTTCCCGGCCTCCACTGCCACCCCAGGGTGCAGCTGTGCCAGAGAAGGATCAGTGCTGGGCATTCGGGAGTCAGCGGGCTGTCTGTGAGTGTGGTGCGGTGGCTCTTAGCAATGTGTAGCCGAGCAGAGGGAAAGGAACAGGCTCTGGGATACATTACTTAGAAAGTGCAAGGCTGGGGCAGCTGAACAGCACATGCACTTTGTGTATGCGACGGGAGAGAGAAAGGCGGTGATTTCCATCTGTGGAAGTGACACCAGCTGAGTGTGTGCCTCTGCGACAGCCCCCTGTAGGTAACCTGACCGGTGCCCACCTGCATGGGTGCTCCAAGGTGGCCGTGAGGCCTCTTCTGGTTTTCAAGGTCTGTGGCGGCCAGGAGGGAGCCCTCAGAACCCACAGAGGTCGAAGCTGCGCTGTCACTCTGCTCCTCAGGACTGGGGGTGGGACGCACCTTGAGTGGATTTGAGGGCTTAGGGTGAGGGGGCAGGGGTTTCTCACAGCCACTTTCCTCCCGCATTTTCCAACTCCCCCTGTCCCATCAGATCTGCCTGGCCCTGTTTTAAGAAAAAGATACCTGATCATTATCAAGTAAGGACTGTAAAAGACTAGGTTGCAACTGGTGCAACCACTATGGAAATCAATATGGAGGTACCTCAAAGAGCTAAGATTAGAAGTCCCATTTGACCCAGCTATTCCCCTGCTGGGTATCTTTTAAAAGGAATTAAAAGAATCATACCACAGTGATATACGTGCACCCATGTTTATAGCAGCACAGTTTGTAATGGCTAAAACGTGGAAACAACCCAATTACCCATCAGCTGGTGACTGGATGAGGAAGATGTGGTTTTTTCTAAAAAATGGAGTACTACTCAGCCATAAAGAATGAGAAACTAGAAACATTTGTAGCTAAATGAATGCACATTGAGGCCGTACTCTTAAGTGAAATAAATAGGACACACTGAGTAAATACCAAATAGTTTCTTTGGTGTAGAAAACTAAAAGTGTAAGTAAGGTTCAAATAGTATAATTGACAGGGGAAATAGGAAGAAAATGGCTACAGGGAAAGTGGGAAGGGAAGGGGAAAGGAAATAAGGGGGAAAGAAAAACTGTGAAAAAAGGAAAAAATGGAAACAAAGTGTTTGTAAATAGGGAGGGGAGGAGGGGGGGAAGGGAGGGCAGGGGAAGGGGGAAAAAACAGAACCAAGACCTGTCATGGAAAGGTACAAGATCCCGATGATGAATGCAGCTGTGCTGTGTGCTTTAAATGGACCAGTAAACTTCATGGGGAAAAAAAGTCCAGGCTGCAAAAGGCTGCACTGACAACAGCACCTTAGTGTCTAAGTCTGTGGGCTCTCGGGGCTCATATCCCATCACGCGCTTTTTTCCCATTGCAGGAAGTTTCTGAGTAACCTGGGAGACAGACTGCAGGAATGGGGCCCGGCCCAGTGTGTGGGGGAAATATTTATCAAGTTTGGGAGCCAGCTGAATACATACACCAATTTCTTCAACAATTATCCCGTTGTGCTGAGAACTATTGAGAAGGTAAATGGTCGGAGTTACTACTGGTGAGGTTGGTAGACCTGAGCTCGCGCTGTGTGCAAACCACAGGACCAGGCAGTAGGTGGGCCCCGCCCTGCTCTCCTCCCAGGTCTCCTCCCGTGTACTGTGCGCTCCCGAGGACAGGGCTGGCACAGTGCTTGGCACATAGCAGTGCCCAGCTGGCTGCTGAGCTGGATGAATCATCACATGCACCACAGGCTCCCACCTTCCCTGGCTGCCACGTGGCTCAGTGACAGGAAAACATCAGCAGCCACACAGAAGCAGGCCCGTGGGCTTTGACTCCACTCTGCCCCAACAATCTACGTGGCCTTGACAAGTTCCCCTCTTGGGACAACTTGTCTTTTATAAATTTCCGGAGGTGACGTAAAAGAAATGTCTGCCTCCGGGAGGAGAAGGGCCCACAAGCCCAAGATCACCTGGGACAGGTCCAGCTGGTGCGGAGCTGAGGTTTCCAGGACTCGCTCCCAGAGACTGGCATGCGGCAGCGCTTCTGACCCTGCCCGCACCGCAGGGCTAGGCGACTGGTTTGAGGGAGCACTGATTAAATGAGCAAAAGCAAGCTCGAAGGTAAGAAGAGCCCTTGGGAGAAGTAGTCTGGACTCCACTCCACCCCTTACTCCCCAGGAAACTGTGGACTCCGAGCACTGTCCGTCGGGAAGCCTCAGCGCTGGGCAGGGGGGCTGCAGGGCCAACGGAACAGCTCCAGGGTGGGTGGGCCCCGCAGGAAGGAGGGACTTCGGCGAGGGTTCGGTGGGCACTTCTTGCTTGATGATGTGCAAGTTTCATAGAACTGATACTGAGGACAAGAACTGGAGCAAAGGCTCATGTGTTATCAGAAACAAATTGGTGCTGACATTTTCATTGCTATCAGCGATAATGATTCCTATTCACTAGAATACTATGTACATATAAATATTCAGTACATATTAGCTATCAATATTATTGAAATCAGTGGATATCTGGGGTTTAGAAATGAGCTCGCTGACATCTTTTAGACATTTACCCTCCTGAGTGGAAGGCAGTAACTTCGTGGGTACATTAATGGTGATAAATGAATATTAAAACTCTTATTGCCAGCTGGGTGTGGTGGCACATGCCTGAAATCACAGCACTTGGGAGGCTGAGGCAGGAGGGTCGCCATGAGTTTGAGGCCAGCCTTGGGCTACATAGTGAGCTCAAGGCCAGCCTGAACTACAAAGTGAGACCCTGTCTCAAAAAGAAAAAAATCACACACACACACATACACACACACACACACACACAAAACCTCTCATTAAATAAGTACAGTGAAGCACTTTTATGGAAAACATGCTTAATAGCAACATTAAAGGTGAATATCATCAGTAGTTGAGTTCTCATGGTAATGAAATACAGTAACATTTACTATGTGGGAGGTACTTTATGGATAGGACTTTTTCCTTTCACATAATTTAGGTTTGATGTCCATTTTAAAGATGAGAAAGCTGAGGCTTAGATTAGTTGAAAACCTTTATAAGGTAACATATCCAATTTGTTCCAGTTCTACATCAGGCCCGCCTGATTGCAGCATGTGTTACTATGAGTCTGCTGACTGAGCTCAGTGGGAAGGTTCGGTCTGTGGTGCACTTGATACACTGCACTTCCTGTACCAGAAGACCCCACTGGTTCTATTAGTACTTTGATTAGATGGGGGCAGTTGCCCTCTGGAGGGCTCCACAGATCCTCACTTGCTCGGTGGACAGGGCTCTGCAGTTGTCTCACAGAGCCAAGCCCTGACTGTCTCTCTCACCTTTCAGTGCAGAGAGATGACACCGGCCTTCCGAGCTTTCCTGAAGAGACACGATAAGACGATTGCCACCCACATGCTGAGGTGAGTTCTGAGGGGGAGCACAGCCGGGTTCTCAGGACAGGGAACCCTCCTTGACCTTCGGAGAGAAACCAGCGTTCCCCTTTCTATGTCTGGTACAGCCTGCCGGAGCTGCTGCTGTGCCCGTCCCGGAGATTTGAAGAGTACATTCATCTTCTCTGTGCTCTGAGGGTTCACACTCCCACAGAACATGCTGGTCGTGGTGACCTGACCGCTGCAATTGACCAAATGAAAACATATAAAGGGTATATAGATCAGGTTGGTTTGGGATAAACATCTGTGTCCATTGTTACAATGTTACAATGCTTCTGTGGTACTTGAAAGTCCTGAGATTGCTTGTCTCCAAGGATGTTCTCATTCCGGTCTTTCATTCTTTTAATGGTAAATGACTGTTCAGTGATTTTGCACATTAAGACCATCTATTCTAAGTCAAACAGCATGAGGCAGAATGTGCTCAGATAGCTGTACAATAACAATAAAACTTTCACTAACATAAGTTTGAAATTTGGATTGGTGCCGGGCATGGTGGCACACTCCTGTAATCCCAGCACTGGGGAGGCTGAGGCAGGAGAATTGTGGTGATTTCGAGACCAGCCTGGGCTACCTAGTGAATGCCAGGTCAGTCTCAATTACACAGTGAGACCCTGTCTCAAAAAAAATTTTTTTTGGATTGGTTTTTCGAGAAAAATGAAACAAAAAACAAAAATGTACAATCCTTTGCTTCTGAAAGTACTAAGGTATCAATTAGCTTTCTCCCTCCTTAAGTACAGCACAATAATTATTCTCCCAAAGACTACAGCGTGTTGGAACACAGTAGTCTCTTTCTGAAAATAACCATGATCGTACTGTGCATGCATTCATCTGGGCTGAAGAGGTGCACCCTGAAGGTGCTTTCCTGAATAGTCTTGTTACTGCCTTTGTTTAAAACAATGAGTTTTAAAACACTGTTGTTAAAACAATGAGTACAGAAAAGTGCGGCTTTTATTACAGTAGAGTAGCGGGTCCTGAGCCTTAAAATATTTTAAAGGATTTCTTTTATAAACACAAATGTCACAGTTGTAGTTGGCTAAAGTCAACTTCTTTTCTAGCTGAAGGAAACCGTCACTATGAAAGAGCGGCTGTCAGATATACAGAGACTCATCTGCGGGTGCCCTGTATGTATTCCGATGTACTGGCTCCATCTCATGCTCATGAATACAGCCTCATCGCTGGCAAAAGAAGACACACAGATCCCAGCACAGCCAACATCTGTGCAATGTTTGCCACTGCCAGAGACCTGGGATCTCTCACGTTTGTCACCCTGGCCGCAAGCGTGCTGCCTACGAGGCGCTTGTGTCCCTGACCTCACCACTTCTCCGTGGTCTTAGCTCCTTGCGTGGTGGCACTGCGATGAGCAGCTCTGTCCAGGGGCAGGGTTCTGTACAGTCTGCTAGCTCTGCATTACGTCTACAACCTCACCTGGTCCTCGTACAGCTTTCCCCAGCACTGGCCACAGCGCACAAATCTATTTCCGTTCTCCACAACGCAGCCTCTCTTGGTTCGTTCTATGCATATACCCTTCCTTCTCTGAAATGACCTTCCTCTCTTACTTCCCTGGATATTTATCGTTTGAAAATTGAAGTCAATCATTGTCCTTATGAAGCTTCCTCCAGCCGCGAGCTGTGCCTTTCCTGGTGTTTCACAGCCTCGGGAGCCCCCTTGTCCTGTTTCTACAGCACCCCCACATCGTGTGTGAGCTGCGACTGGTCACCTAGCGCCTGGCACTTAGGAGCAGTTAGAGTATCAGTTGATTGGAGATGCTATTTCTAGCTGGTCAAATTGGGGAAGCAAGATGGAGTTGTTTCAATTTCAATCTACAGATTTTGGTAGGGAAAATTCCAGATTCTTGGGCCTCACAGTCTCGTTACATCACTGCATGTACCAAGAGACCATCAGCACGGCAGCCAGAACCTGTACCTTTGCTTCCTTCATTTGCTTCCTTTTCTGCACAACTGCTTTTCGTCCCGCACCCCATGTTCAAATAAAACAATCCAGTAGTTCTAAAAGATCTGGTGGCCTTCTAAAATGGTGATTGTCACTGTTGATTTTGTGGTCTTTCTACAGAAAGCCTGTTTTTATCAACAACAAAAATTGATAGTTTCATAACTCAGTTCTATTCAACACATATTCCGGGAGATAAAATACAGCTGCACTGGTAGTATCCATTTAAAATTTACATATGCTTTTAATTTTTTGATTTTATAGACTCTATCAGAAGCAAACAGATATCTGATTAGGGTCCAAGATGTAGTCCAGCTTCGCTGCTGTGATGAGGAGATACATTTCTCTCTAAGGTAAGTAGCCATTATCTGAGCTGCCGACCCCTTCAGAGCAGGTACCTGTCTTATCGTCCTGTGTCCTTGGCATTTGGTACCACATGCAATTTATTATAAATCTTTGCACTGGCTGGGTGTGGTGGCGCACACCTGTAATCCCAGCACTTGGGAGGCTGAGGCAGGAGGATCGCTGTGAGTTCAAGACCAGCCTAAGCTACATAGTGAGTTCCAGGTCAGTCTCAATTACATAGTGAGACCCCGTCTCAAAAAAAACAAAAAACAAAACAAAAAAAAACCCCAAATATATCTTTACACTGAACTAAAGAGTCACACACTCCTCTGAGATAGTGTGAGGCACTGCATCACCCCAATTGTCTTCTGGGTAGAATGGGAGAAAATAAATCATCTCTACCAAGACCAAACTCCTTAAAAGCAGAACCTCTCAAGGTCAGTCAGTTTCCTCCTGAGATAAGATCCAAGTGCTATGGGGTCTCACAAGAATGGTCTACTTAACTGTAAGGAGGGGACCAATTTATTTTTCTCAGATAGTTGTTGACATCAGTATTAAAAATGACCTCACCATATCTAGTTTGCACAGTGCTCAGAATAGTGCAAGAATAAAAGAAGGATGTCCCAGAAGTTACTGGCCCATTCCTCTTTTAGAACAGAGATAGATGCATTTTTCTGCAAAGGTTCAGAGTAAATATTTAGGATTTTCTGACCAAACGATCTCTGTGGCAACAACCTACCTTTGCTGTTGAATCACAAAAAGTTAGTAAATGATACAAAACAAAGCAAATAATACACTATTCATAAACAACCTGATACATAAATGAACAAGTACAGCTGTATTCTAATAAAACTTTATTTATAGAGACAGGTGGTAGGGTATGGTTTGCTGATTCCTACTTGAATAAACTGCCAAACTGTTTTCATTATTAATGGTGAAGATGATGATGCAACACAGAGCAGCCAGGTGGAGGGAAATTAACTCCTTCAATTTGTCCAACTGCAATAAAGGTATATAAATGAAAACCAAATCACAGCATCTCTTGTCTCACCGACACAGCTTTTTTGTCTCCTTTCGTTGTGCTGGTTTTGTTTAGTAGCCACAGAAAAGAGGACATTGATGGGAAGAAAGTAGCTACCAAACCAGCAATTCTAAATATACTGGTTTGGTGGAAAGTGTGCTAGAAATTTGGTAGAGTTTTGGTTGGAAGTGTGCTAGGAATTATTCCAGTTTCTGGATATTATTATGCCCTCGTGGATTCCTTCTCTGACATTCTTTTCTTCATGTAAATCTGAGTTTCTATGCCATTTTCCTTCTATCTGCAACACTTTTAGAATTTCTTGCAAGGCAAATGTACTAGCAAGATGTACTTCCGGTTTGTTTGAAAAATGATTTCTCCTTAATATTTGATGGAAAATTTTGCTGGCTACAGAATTCTAGGCCTTTTTTTCCCCCCCAATACTTTATTTTGTTCCACTCTGTTCTTGCTCAAATGGTTCTGAAGAGAAGTCCAATGTAACTGTTACTATTAGGCTATGTTTATTGTAGTAGTTTAGGGTAACAGGCTGATATTTCCATGGTGGTGTATTTTTCTCCTCTGTTGGCTTTGGGTTTCCTTCAGGACTCCTAATAAGATGGGGTTCAGAGACTCTGAGGGCCACCGGAGACCTTGGGGTGAGGCAGGCATGCAGGGACTTGAAGACTCAGAGCCCCAGGGTCTTGCTAAGTCGTCCCAGCTGGTCTTGAACTTGTGATCCTCCTTCTGCCTCTCAGCCTGCTCGAATCACAGAATGGCTTCATCATCATCTCAAAAGAAAACAGACCCCTCAAAAAAGAAAATGGAAGAAGGCAGAGTCTTCAGTGAAAAATGGATGAGTGCTTTTTTATTGAGAGAAATAAGGCACCCTGCTTACTTTTTCTAAATCAGTTTGTCTCACCAGACAATAGCCAGATGAATCGAGGAAATGGGGGAAAATCTACTGAAAAAGATTTAAGAGTGAAGCTGCTAATTTCAAACTTTATTCTTTGGCAATGGGTGAAAGTGCTGATGTGACAGATGTGGTTCAATTAGCTGTTTTTAGTTAGCAGTGTTAGAGATTAGGAGTTATAGTATCACTGAAGCAATGGCTTCTTTGATGCCATTAAAATACAGCTAAATCATTTCATTTGTATGAAGCAGTAAAAATAACAGTGACTTTCTTCGAACTTCGTCAACATATCTGACGTAGCCATAGTGGTACCTGTGATGGTTGATAAACAAGAGGGATTTAAACTGGATGTGGTGGGGCCCACCTATAATCCCAGCACTCAGGAGGCCGAGGCAGGAGGATTACTGCAAGTTATGTAGCCTGGGCTACATAATGAATTCAAGGCCAATCTGAACTACAGAGTAAAACCTTTTTCAAAAAAAGAGGTATTTATAAATTAATAAGAGATGATACAGTTGTTGCTGGCAAGTCACATTTAATAAAATAGTGCTGCATAATACACCAAGGAAATTCAAGCTTTAAAAATGGATGTTATGGGAGTAAGGTGTGGTGTTTCAAGCCAATGATCCCAGTACTTAGGAGGCAGAAAAAAACAAAGTCCCATGAGTTCAAATAGTGAGTTTAAGACTAGCCTGACTATGTAGGGAGATCCTGACTCAAAAAAAACAACAAAAAGATGTTATGCAAATCATCATCAAAGCTATGAATTTCATGAGATCCTAGGGATCGAATCACCAACTCCACAAATTCCTCAAGAGTAAGGATGCTGATTATGAGGACATCACTTACTTTTCTGAAGTGAGGTGACCAAGTTGGAGTAAAATGCTGAAAAGATTTTGTGAATTGTGAAATGATACTGTCATTTATGGAATCAAGGAATCTGAAGATGAAAATTCCTTGCCAGTTTTGCATTTTTTGGATATGATCACTCATTTAAATGGGATAAATGTGTCGTCAAGGTGAAAGTCAATTTATATGTGCTATATTTCAGTACAATGTACAACACCCTATAAAATACAGTGCACAAAATGGAGAGGGTAATGGAGAAAAAGGGCCGGATGTACAGGTTCAGATTCCCAATGATGAGTGTTATTATTACGTATGCCTATAATTTACCAATAAATGTTTTGCCATTAAAAAAAGATGGGGTTTACTCATGTGATGGTGAGATGTGTGTGTGGTAGAAGCATCCTGTAGTTCTAGGATCAGTATTTTCTCCCTTGTTTTGGGAAGGAGTGGTAGTGGGCATTGAACCTAGGGATGTTCGATCACCTAACTACATCCTCGGCCCTTTTAAATTAAAAAAAAAAATTTATGAGTACATGCTTGCAGTACACGATAATTACATTCATTGTAGGAAATTGGTACATGTAATTACAAATCTCAATGCTTTTTTTCCGTTTCCTTCACACCCCCTTTTATTTTGCCAGCACCAGATTCATGTATTTAAGTCATTATAAGTCAATTATCATGTATACAGATTAACAACTGGACCAATAGGCCAAAAAACATAGTACACCTAAGACTGATATACTAAATCAGCGTCCACTTGTAGACAGATACATTGCCATCCTGGATAACAATAACTCTTTTCTCTCTTTTTTCCTGTTACAGTGGTGCCTCTATTCACAAACACTTTTGTTTGCAAACAATCTGGTTTGTAAACAGAAGCATTTGGCAAAATTTTGTTTTTATTTGCACACTCTGGACGAACATGACCATGGCCATCCTTCCCACATGAAGACAAAGGTGGCCATCTTTTTCAGAATTGTGGAACGAATTAAGTTTGTGAACCAAGGCATCACGGTATCTGTCTTTTATTTCACACTTTATTTATATATTGAATTTTTCATATAAAAGAGCCATGTGATATTTAAACTTGTGGGTCTGATTTACTTTACTTTTCTTTAATATTATGGTATTAAGGTGCGACAGTTTTCCTACAAATGACTCAAGTTCATCCTTTATGGCAGCATAGTTCTTACTCCATTGTGGAACAGTATCACAGTCTCTGTCCATTCATCTGTTGATGGACATGTAAGCTGTTTCCAAGATTGATTTATTACAAGTGTACTTCTATAAATATGGTTATGCATACATCACTGTGGTATGATGTCTTTAACTCTTTTGGGAAGATACTTAGAAGGGGAATAGCTGGGTCATGTGAAATTTCTAGTTTAATTTCTGGGGAACTTCCATGCTGATTTCCATAATGGTTGTACCAGTTTACACTCCCACAAAAAATGAAAGGTTTTTCCCCCACAGCCTCACCAACATGTTATTGGTTGATAACCTTCAGTCTGGAGTGAGATAAAATCTCATTGTTTTAATTTACATTTCTCAAGTGGCCAGTGATGTTGAACATTTTTTTATTTTTCTTTTTTTGGGGTGAGGGATTTGAGACAAGGTCTCGCTATGTAGTTCAGGCTGGTCCTGAACTCACTATGTATCCAACTTGAGGTGATCCTCCTGCCTCAGCCTCTTGAGTGCTGGGATTACAGGCATGCACCACCATGCCTGGCTTGAACATTTAAAAAATGTATTTATTGTAATTTTTATTTCTTAATCTGAGAAGACTATTCCTTTTGCTTAGCAACTTATTGTGCCAGGTGTACTAATTCTCTTTTGACTTATTGGGATTGTTGGCTTGTCTCTTTCTAAACTATCCTGAGAGTTTTATAACACTGATTTGGTGGTCATGAATTTCTTGAGGTACTCCTTGTCATGGAAATAAAATTTATTTTTTTAATTTTACTTTTTAAATCTATTTTTGAGACAGGGTCTTGCTATGTAGCCCAGGCTGGCCTCAAACTTGCAACAATCTTCCTGCCTCAGCGTAAGTGCTGGGGTTATAGACATGTACCACCATGCTCAGCTTCTGTGTTGATTTTAAAGGAAAGTTTTGCAGGATACATAAGTCGGGGTTGGAAGTTTTTGTCTTGTAGGACTTGAAGCACTTCACTCCAAACTCTCCTGGCCTTTAAGTTTTTTTATAGAGCAGTCTGCTGCAATTTTAATAG